ATCCAAGCGTCGTAAAGCTACGGTTTCTCGTTCGTCCTTCAACTCTGAGAAGTTCCCATCTAAAGAAAAATCTAAGTTGTTTGGGGAGTCTTTTGCATCTCGTACCGTACATTTAGAGCGCAATATCCTCCCAAATGCCTTTGAGGTTGTTCCCATTCGGTCTTTATTTGATTCGTTAGGCGGAGATCAAGTGTTGCATTTCTCCGGGCCACAAAATTTGAGTCTCATCCGGGAATTCTATTGCAATATCCATTCCATTCGCAAAGAACTTCCGGCCTCCTTTGAGACTTGGGTTAGGAAGAAGTCACTTGTTATCACTGGGGATGTGTTTCGGATTTTACTTGGTCTTCCTGAGGTTCACAATTGTCATTTTCCGTTTCTTACCCGGTCAGGTGTTGATTTTAATTGTGTTGCGTCTGAGTTATGTGGTGTTGACCGGACTTGGGTCACTGGGGATCTCCTTCAGCAAAATGAGTTGCTTCCTCGGTTCCGTCTCTTGAATATCATCGTGTGTGCGAATCTTTATATAACCACCCATTCCTCGCATATTACTCAGGACCAAGGTTATGTTCTGTATTGTATTCATCACCGACTACCTATTGACCTTCCAGAGATGATTATGTCAAAAATGATTGGGGTCTCTGAGGGCCGAAAATCTTTGGGGCTTCCTTATGGGTGTTTGCTTACTCGCTTTCTCACTGCCCTTGATGTTCTTTCTTTTGATGATGATGAGTTTGCTTACCCTATCAAACCCATTACTAAATTGACAGTCTCTCAGAGTCAGGCTCATGTGAGGGGGAGTGTGTCGGGGGTTGGGAGTTCTGGTGCAGGTAATGATGATCCCCTTGCCGAGGAGGAGGAGTTTGAGGCCGCCAATGCCGGTGCCCCTGATCTTCCTGAGCTACGTCCTCGCTCATTTCGTGGCCAGCTACAGCACTTTGAGCAGTCTGTTACACGTCGTCTTGATGTTTTGGCTACACGTCTTGATGGTGTTGATGGCCGCCTTGATGAGCAGAGTGCCATGCTTACTCAGATTATTTCTCTTCTTCAGTTGCAGCAGCCACCATCTTCTCCTTCTTAGCTTTTGGCATATGCTTCTCGTGGACAGTTTTTGTTCTTACTTTGTATCTGCCTGTTGATGTTTTTGGGTCACTCCCGGACAAAAAGGGGGAGTAGTTTTGGGGTACTGGTACTCATGGTACTCATGTTTGTTTTTGCAGATGGCTATTTGGACGTTTATGTTTATATGATGTGGCTATTATTGATATGAGATTGGGGGCTATATGTTTTATTTATATGTTTTTGTGTTATATCTTGATGGTTTGGTTTGATATGTTACTTTTCAGGTTTGATGGAGTTAGCTTTGATTACAGGTTTTCCTCAAGTGTGGTTTATTGGTTCAAGATGTTCGTTCCAGGTTGTATTTAGTTGAATTTATGGCATGGTATGTTACTTTTGCTTATATTCTTTAGTTGAATTTATGGCATGGTAGATTAAGACATGTGAATTTTGATACTTTGCATAGATTAATTGGTTTGGATTATATACCAAAGTTTGAAATTGATCCTAAACACAAATGTGAGATTTGTGTAGAAGCAAAACTAACTAAAGCTCTATTTAAATCGATTGAAAGAAAAACCAATCTCTAGAATTAATTCATACTGATGTATGTGATTTTAAATTTGTTCAAACTAAAGGAGGCAAAAAGTATTTTATAACATTTATCGATGATTGCACAAGATATTGTCATGTATACTTACTTAGAAGCAAAGATAAAGCCTTAGAAATGTTTAAACTCTACAAAACTGAAGTTGAAAATCAACTTGGTATAACCATTAAAATCGTAAGAAGTGATAGGGGTGGTGAATATGATGCACCATTAAATGAATTTTGTGCACAACATGACATTATTCATCAATCTACAGCACCTTATTCTCCATAGCAAAATGAAATTGCTGAAAGGAAGAATAGAATTTCATTTCCGTTGTAACCAAAAAAAAAGAAGAAAAGAAAAGAAGAATAGAACCCTTAAAGAAATAATGAATGTCATGTTACTAAGTTCAGGCTTACTACAAAACTTGTAGGGGGAAGCAATATTGTCGGCTAATTATGTTTTTAATAGAATACCCCACAAGAAAACTAACAGCACTTCTTATGAATTATGGAAAGGTCGACCACCTTCCTACAAATACATAAAAGTGTGGGAGTGTTTGGAAAAAGTTGAGATTCCTGTTCCTAAAAAGACTAAGATTAGACCAAAAATAATAGATTGTGTGTTTATTGGTTATGCTTAGAATAGTAGTGCATATCGATTTCTGACTTATAAATCAAAAATACCTGATATAAATGTGAACACTATTATAGAGTCAAGGAATGTTGTGTTTTCTGAACATGTCTTTCCTTACAAGAAAGGACAGGAATTAAGTTCACAGAAAAGAACTTATGATTGTACACAAAGTCAAGAGACTAATGACAATCAAACACAAGACACTAGTAATAGTCTCAACCAACAGGATTTAACTGATGATGAACCAAGACGAAGTAAGAGAGCAAAAACATCAAAATCCTTTGGTCCAGATTTTCTGACATACTTGTTAGAAAATGAACCTCAAAGCTTTAAGGCAGCAATGACAGGTCCTGAAGCACCTTTGTGGAAAGAGGCTGTTAATAATGAAATTGAATCCATTATGCAAAATCATACTTGGGAATTGGTGGATCTTCCACCAGGTTCTAAACCTCTTGGATATAAATGGATATTCAAGAGAAAAATGAAAGCAGATGGTTCAATTGACAAGTATAAAGCAAGACTTGTAGATAAAGGTTACAAACAAAAGAAAGGTCTGGACTATTTTGACACACATTCCCCTAGGCTAATTTGGTAGAACAAGTTCATAAATCACATAACAAAAAGAGAAAGTTTACTGGAGATGGTCCTAAACAAGGCGATAGTAGCAAGAAGTTCAAAGGAAAATGCTATAACTGTGGCAAAACTGGACATCGAGCTTCTGACTGCCGCCGCCCTAAAAAGAATCATGGAAGTACAAGTAAGAAGAC